ATGAGATATATTCATAATCCTATAATGCCATTACCACTCTTTCCAGAATATTTTTGTCATCCAAAACAGACAGAAACTCTGTATTCATTAAAAATAACTCTTGAGGCCATTGCCTTGCTAAACTCTGGTGTCGCCATGTGCTTTTTCAGCTATGGCTGTCACCAGGCTTCCTGGCTTTGGCCCCCTCCCCCACCTTAGGGAGTTGAATATTCCCTCTCCCTTCTCTTTCTCTCTCTAATTTACTTTTAAATAAACTTTTCCTTCTTTACCCCCCCAAATAACTCTTTACTTACCTACCTCTCCCATTAATACCTCCATTCTACTTGCTGTCTCTATGTGTTTCCTTATCCTAGATACCTCATAAATAAGTGAAATTATATACTATTACAATAATACAATATTGTCCTTTTGTGTCTGGCTTATTCTTTCACTTATATTATGTTTTTAATGTTAATAAATGTGGTAGTATGTATCAGAATTTTATTTCTATTTATTTATTTTGAAAATTTATATTTTTCCTTTTTAAGGCTGAATATTACTCCATTGTATGTATGCACAATATTTTGTTTATCTCATCTGTTGATAGACTTTTGGTTATTTCTGTCTTTTGACTAGTGTGAGTAATGCTGCTATAAACATTGGTATATAAGTATTTGTTGAACTCTCGCCTCAAAATTGAGTTTATATGTAGAAGGACAATTGCTGTGTCATATAATTCTTTGTTTAACTTTTTGAAGAGCTACCTCAGCTCTTTTTACAGTGACTACCTCATTAACATTTCCACCAGCGAATATAGGAGGTTTTCAGTCTTAAATCCTTGGCATTACTTTTTATTTTTTAAAGATAATAGTCATCCTAATGTGTGTGAAGTAGTACTTTATTGTGGTTTTGATTTGTAGTACCCTAACGGCTAGTGATGTTGAACAACTTTTCTTGTGTTCAGTGGTTATTTGTATATCCCATTTGGAGAAATGTCTATTCAAATCATTTGCCCATTTTGAAATATTTTGAATAAAAAAAGTTTTTATTTCAATAACGATTGGAGGTACAAAGAGGTTTTTTTTGGCATAGATGCATTGTACAGTCGTGAGAAGTCAGGGCTTTAAGTGTACTCACCACCCTCAACTGTGTACATTGTACCTGATAGGTGATTTTTTGCCCCTCCACCCTCTCCCCCTTCTGAGTCTTCTGTGTCCATTATACCATTCTTTATGCCTTGGCAGATTCTTCGTTTAGCTCCCACTTATCAGTGAGAACATGTAGTGTTTGATTTCCTGTTCCTGTGTTACTTCACTTAGGATGATGTTCTCCAATTCCTTTCAAGTTCCTGCAAAGTATATTATTTCATTCTTTTTATGGCTGAGTACTATTCTCTCTGTGTGTGTGTGCGTTTGTGTGTGTATTACATTTTCATTATTCATAGATCAGTTAATGGGCGTTCAGGTTGATTGCACATCATTTTAATTTGTGAATTGTGGTGTGATGAACATGCAAGTCCAAGTGTCTTTTAAAAAAATTTTTATAATGATCTTTGTTCCTTTGGGTAGATATCAGGTAGTGGGACTATTGGATTGAATGGTAGATCTACTTTTAATTCTTTGTGAAATATCCATCCTGATTTCCTTAGATATTGTACTAATTTATACTCCACCAACCGTGTATAAGCATTCCTTTTTCACAGCAGCCCTTCAGCATTTATTGTTTTTTGACTTTTCTAAAAAGAATAGCTATTGTGATTGGTGTAAGGTGGCATGTCATTGTAGTTTTAATTTACATTTCCCGGCTGGGCTCGGTGGCTCAGCCTGTAATCCTGGCGCTTTGGGAGGCCGAGGTAAGTGGATTACGTTAGCCCGTGGGTTCGAGACTCTCCCTGGTCACTTGACGAGAACTCATCTCTACAATAAATAAAAATTAGCCGGGCATGGTAGCGCACACCTGGAGTTCCAGCTACTTGGAAGGCTGAGGCGGAAGGATACCCGGAGCCTAGCAGGTCGAGGCTGCGGTGGCCTGGAATGTGCCACTGTCCTCCAGTCGGGGGCGACAGAGTGAGACTTCAACTCCAACTCCAAAAAAAAAAGTTACATTTCCTTGATGATGAGTGATGTCGAGCATTTTTTCATAGGTTTGTTGTATATTTATATACATTCTTTTGAGAGATGTCTGTTCATGTAATTTGCTCACTTCTTAATGGGTTCATTTGCTTTTTTCTCGCTGATTTGTTTGAGTCCTTTGTAGATTCCGGATATTCATCCTTTGTCAGATGCGTAGTTTGAGAATATATTCTCCCATTTTGTAGGTTGCCTATTTGCTCTGCCGATAATTATTATTATTGTTATTTTGCCATGCAGAAGCTTTTTAGTTTAATTAAATCCCAGCTGGTGTTTAATTTTTTTTTTAGTTTCATTAAATCTTAACTGGTTTAATAATGCTGAAGCTTTTGAGGACCCTTATGAAATATGACTAAGAACTATCCATCTGGGAGCCGAAGGATGCAGAATTTATCCGTGAGGTCCCTCGCTTCCTATATGTGGTTTCTGGGAGTTTACATCCTCCATACTTCCAAGTTGTATATTTGTGCATGTCAGTGCTTCCCACACCTTAGCATCTAGAAGTCATGGGGTTGGAAGTGAGAAGTAAAGGATGTGGGTTTAGGGAAAATTTGGTCTTTTAGCCTGGTCAAAGTCTTCTTTTAACTTGTCAGTACAACAAAAGCAGGATGAGAGGCCATGAAGATTTCAGGGTTGTAAAAGTCGAATCCAGTATACTCAGTAATTTATTCTATAGTCAATTCATATTTTGGCATGACTCTAATTTTTACGTCCTATCAAATGATTTTGTCTCTTAGAGCCAGAAATCAGAATTACTGATGCCTCAAATTTATGTTTGGGCTCAAATTTATGTTTGTAGTAAAGGTAACTTCTCACTTACCTTTACTACGAAGACACCAGTCTTTCCTGGTTTTCCACCTGTCTGTTGCCCTCCTTCCTCAGGCTCTTTCATAAGCTTCTCTTCTGTATAAACCCACATGGTATTCCTGAGACCTGTCCTCTGTCTTCTCACTGAACGTCTCTGGATGACCAGCCTCATTCCCACACCTTCAACTACTGTCTTTACACTATTTTTCAAGTATTATCTTTACACTTGCCATGCACAGCATTTATTGTTTTTTGAATTTTCTAAAAAAAATAGTCGTTTTGATTGGTGTAAGATGGTATGTCATTGTAGTTTTGGTTTGCCTTTCCCTGTTGATGAGTGATGTTTAACATTTTCCCCATATGTTTGTTGTCCATTTGTATATCTTCTTTTGAGAGATATCTGTTCGTGTAATTTGCCCACTTCTTAATGGGGTCATTTGCTTTTTTCTTGCTGATCTGTGTACTATGATTTCATAGTCTATGATTCTCCCAGCCCTGATCCCTTTCCTGATCTCGTGACCTTTACATCTGACATGCTAGACATCACCTGAATATTCCACTGTACCTCAGATTTAACAATTTCCAAACCTGTTCCTCCTTCTGTATTCTCTGTTGGGGTTAATAGCTAGATCATCCATCTAGTTGCTAGAAGTTATCCTTAACTTCTCCTTCTCTCTTCTCTTTATTCCACACTATCAGTCACTGTCGTCTTGATTTTGCCTAAACATCTCTCCTTGTTATTGCAATAGCAAAGGAGTAAATGTATTTGAATGTATACCATAATGTTATTGCAGCAGAAATCTGAGAGCTGTCAGCAATTTTCTACTCTGTGTGTGTTTGTGTTTTCTCAGTCTTCTGCATAAAAGCTTTTGATATCTTGTTATTTAGATGATAATATCTAAATTCCTTAGTATTTTATGCAGTGTGTCTTAAAATCTGTCTCCATTTTAGCTTTCTAGCCTCATCCTCTACTATAGTCACCTGGTTTTAGCTATATCAACCCTGCAATTTCCTAACTACACAGTGCTCGTGTGTGTATGTGTGTGTGTGTGTGTGTGTGTGTGCTGTTTTTTGTAATTTGCTCTTCTCTAAACTGGGGAGCTCATCTTCAGTCCTTCAGAGCTCAGCTTATATGTTGACACTGAGTGAGGATTTCTGTGAAATCCCTCCCCTACTCCCAGAGTTTTTCATTCATTCTACTGAGCTCTTCTGTCACTTAGACCTTCCGTGTCTTATATATCACACTGGATTGCAAGAACTTGTTTATGTATGCGTTCCCTTCTATACCCTGATACCTCTTATGACAAACTGGATCTTATTTATTCTGCTTCCCTCAAACCTAATGCGGTATCTGACACACAGTGTGCCTTCAATGAATTTGTTCATTATTCAATGGGTGTTTGATGAGTGCCTACTCTCAGCAAGACGTTATTTTAGGCACTGGAGATAGAGGTTCTACCTGTCATTGGGAATATAGTCTAGTGAGGTTGGTAAATTGATGTTGATTGATAGAGGCCTACCAATTCTTCTTTAGTTGAAATAAGCCTCTCAGTTTAAGGAAATGATAGTATTTGTTGTCAGTAATAAAATTCAAATTTTGAAGCAAAAATTGTACTTGTGAAAACCATGTATCCACCAGTGTGTACTTTATAGCTTTCCAATATTTAGACTTCTTTGATGTGATCTGTGGTAATATTAAACAATATCATTTTTTATGATGTATGATAAAATGTTATCAACATGCAGAAGATTTGCATAACATAGTGAAGCAATGTTTTCCAAGTGATCAATGCATGATGTTATGAAGTCACACATAGATAAAAGATTCATTCATGGGTAAAGATCTAGTCAAAGTATAAGATAGGCCAGTCAATTTTACTGATTGAAAGTATGAAAAGTTCATTGATAATGGTTTCTGATTCTACGATTACAACTAAACTTTAAGAAATTACCACTTTTCGAGTTTTGTGTGATAGTAAAGAAGATTAGTACAATGATCTGAAAAGCTAAGATCCATCCCTTTTTTTTTTTTTTTGAGTTGGAGTCTCACTCTGCTATGCAAACTGGAGTGCAGTGGCCGCTCCCGGCCACCGCAGCCTCGACCTGCCGGGCTCTGGCAATCCTTCCACCTCAGCCTCCCGAGTAGCTGGAACTACAGGCATGCGCTACCAAGCCCGGCTAATTTTTTGATTTATTGTAGAGATGAGGTCTCGCCAAGTTGTCCTGGCGGGTCTCGAACCCGCGGGCTCAGGCAATCCACTCACCTCAACCTCCTAAAGTGCAGGATTACAGGCTGAGCCACCGAGCCCGGCCTTGATCCATCTTTTGATGAGTACAATCTGTGTGAGTCCAAAACTTTTTACATTATCCAACCAAAACAGCATGTCACAACAGATTAAATGCAGAAGCAGCTATAAAAATCCAGATGTTTTCTATTAAGTGAAACATTAAAGAGATTTGCAAAAATTTGAAATAATGCCAATTCTCAATATTTTTTGTTTTAGAAAATATAGTTGTTTCTCATAAAATATGCTATTTACGTTAACATGTAATCACTTTATTATTGGTGTTTGAAATAACTTCATAAATAGATATGTAAAGCAAGTCTCAATTTTAATGTCTAATTCTGTAAAACAGGGAGGGTTGGGCATGGGGGTCATGCCGTTTTTGGTAAAAAATGCTGAACACTCAACAAGGAGTGGGCAGGTATGTTGTCATGGTAGGAGAATCAGTCAACTGTTTGTCACAACTTGGAATATTTCTCCTGCAAATTGTGACACAACCTTCTCAAAACCTCCACGTAAAAACTTTGGTTGACCATTTGATATGAAAAACAAATTTTAAGTGTAGTACAAGGTGCCTGCCCTCCCCCAAAAGATAGTTTGGGTTTTCTGGGTCACCCCTCAAACCACAGGAATTTCAGAGGAAAGGAGGACAGAGAAAGGGGGAAAAAAGAATACATGAAAATTTACTTGGTAAAAACTTGGCTGCATTTAGTGAAAAATATTAATCTGCTCCTTTCAGCAAATTCTATAAACCTGAAAGAAGATAAACTTAAGTATATATGCACATAGAATCATCACAGTCCATTGGCAAACGATAAAAACAGAAAGAATCTGGGAAAAATGATCATTCACTATGTACAAGTTATTCGTTAATAAGACTAAAAGCTGACCTTTTATCAGAAATCAAAAAGACACAAGACACTTAGGCAACATACTGAAAGTGTTGGGGGAAAAATAACTATCAACTAGTCTATATCTTACAAAATTGACCTTGAAAAATAAAGAAAAATTAAAATAGCCTCAGATAAACCAAAACCAGACAATTAATTGCTAGCGCAAATCTGTCCTACAAGAAATACTAAAGCAAATATTACAGGCTAAAATGAGAGGACACTAAACAGTAATTCACACAAAGAAATAAATAGCACTAGCAAAGAATATACATAAGTATGATAAAAGGCACATGTGCATTTTGTTTGTCACCCTGTTCTTCTCATATGATTGAAAAGAAAACTATATAGGCCAATAATTATAAAATTGTTTTGGTGAAGTTATAATATACAGAGGGTACGAAAATGCATAAACATTTTAAGAAAGGAAAAGAACTGTATCAAAACTGTAATACTCAATATATACACTGATAACAAGCCACATTTGGTAGATGGTTTCACTGGTCATTCTAATGTCCTGCCTGTCACATGGTGACAGTAGTATTCATTTGATTAACTCCATTGTGTTTTTTTTGAGTTGGAGTCTCACTCTGTTCCCCAGACTCCGGAATGCAGTGGCACATTCCTGGCCACCACAGCCTCGACCTGCTGGGCTCCAGCAATCCTTCCCCCTCAACCTTCCAAATAGCCAGAACTATAGGCATGTGCTACCACGCCTGGCTAATTTTTTTTGATTTATTGTAGAGATGTGGTCTTGCCAAGTTGCCCGGGCTGGTCTTGAACCCGTGGGCTCAGACAAGCCGCTCACCTCAGCCTCCCAAAATGTTGGGATTACAGGCTGAGCCACTGAGCCCGGCCAACTCCGTCTTTTGAGTGAATGTGTTTACCTTTTTTTGGCACCCCTGGTATGAAGTGTCATTCATATGACAATATTGATACAAGCAAAAAAGGAGAAACAGACCTATTTTTGGAACAAAATTTTTATATAGTACAAGAATTTATTTCACATTAATCTAGACTACATTGTGTCAAGTTAAGATACTAATTGTAATATCCAGGGCAACCACTAAGAAAATAATTGAAAAGCACATAGAAAAATAAACAAGTAAACTAAAATAGTATGCTAGAAAACCTTTATTTTACATAAAAGAAAGCAATAGGGAATGAACAGAAGAAGATACAAGTATCACAGTGCTTACCATGAAAACTTATAGCTTCAAATGCCTATTTTTAGGGAAAAAAGATCTCAAATCAATAATGAAACTTTCTATTGGAATAAACCAGAAAATGAGAATAAACACAAAAGTAAGCAGGGGGTACTGCTAGAGCAAAAATTAACAAAAAGGAAATAGGAAAATGGTAGGGGGAAAAATCAGTGAAACCATACATTGGTTCTTTGAAAAGACCAACAAAGTGAACAAGCCTTTAGCGACACAGGCCAAAAAGAAAAGAGAAGAGACTCAAATTACTAAAACCTGGAATGAAAAATGAGACATGACTACAGACTTAACAGAAATTAAATGGATATGAGAGAATTTTATGAACAGTTGTACACCAATTAACTAGATTATCTAGATAAAATGAATATATTCCTAGAAACATATAAACTACTTAAACTAACTTAAGAATAAATAGAAAGATTCCAAATCCAAGATGGTGACCAGGGAGTGGCTGAACAAACACTTTCTCCCAAAGCAGAGCAAGGAAGAAAATTCCAGCCAATGGTAACTCCAAGCAGCTTGAGCAGGTTTAGACAGCAGAGAACTCTTGGAAAGAATTGGTAATAAGGAAGAGAGAGAGTGGGTGGCCAGATTTGAATCCTGGTGCCCTATCCCCATCAGGCACCCGGCTCCCATAGGATTTACAGTCCTGCCTTGTACATGAAAGGGAGTGAGAGCCCTTGACATGATCTGGCACAGTTTCCTTCTCCCCAGCCATGCACATGTCTTTAGTCTCATACAGGGGTAGGTTTGTCAGGGCACAGAAGCATGCTACCAGAGCACATCTCCAGCTGGGAACCCACCCAAGCTCAAAATGGCTACTGCCAATCAACCCTTCTGATGTGCTCCTCACTGACAGTGTTAAAGCTGACCAAGAAAGTTCGCTGGCAAGCTGCATTCAGTCACTACCATCAGTGTCTGCCAGCCACTCCCCAGACCAGGAAGGAATGCCTGCAAGCCTCACCCAATGGAAGGGCAGGTCCCACCATGGTAAACACTGCTGCTTCTGAACAAGGACTTTGGCAGGGGAGGGAGAGTTGTGAAAGGCACCAGACAGCCTGGTTTCCCAGCAGGAGCACCTCTTGCTGCTGCACTGGTCACGGGTCCATCCCACTTCCTGATCTCAACTAAGAGCTTTCAACTGGAGGTCGGAAATCATTCTGGTTAGCCTGGTGGCAGGATAACTTTGCAGTAGAAAGTCACTTTGGGTTCTGAGGAATACCTAGCAAGAGTGGCAGAACTGGAGTAACTGTCCTCATCTCTCTCTCCCTGTAATAACTATTTTGAATGGCAGAAAGGGACCTAGGGCAGCTAGACCATAACTATCTATAACACAACAAAATTAAAAAATAATAAAAAGAAAAAGGTTGGTCCTCAAAGATGAGTAAAAAACAGCAAAAAAACAACAGCAATTCCCAAAGCCTTAGGCGTCACCTACAAAAGCACCTCCCATACCCAAATGTAAGAGATTCAGAGAACCCCTACAAGGTATTTCATGAGAAGAACATCCCCAAGACACATCAAATACATTTTCACAAGGTAAACATAACAGAAAAATTCCTAAAGGCAGCTGCAGAGAAGAGACAGACCACCTATTGGGGAAGACCCATGATAATTTCAGCAGACTTCTCAGCAGAAATCCTACAAACCAGAAGAGACTGGAATTCCATCTTTAATGTTCCTAAAGATAAGTAATTCCAGCCAGGAATTTCCTACCCTTCCAAGCTAAGCTTTAGCAATGAAGGTGAATTAAAATTCTTCCCAGATATCCAATTTCTAAGAGAATATGCCACCTCCAGATCAGTCCTTCAGGAGATGCTTAAGAAATTTCTTTGCACAGAAACGAAAGAATGGTTCCACCCATTGCAAAAGCACAAGCAAGCAGAGTTAACAAAGCATATAAATTAACTAAAAAAACCTACCTAAAACGAAGCAAAGCAACCTCTTACAAGCATTATGGCAGGGATAAGCCCTCACATATCAATAACTAACTTGAAGGTGAATGTACTAAATGCACCACTAAAAAGGCATAGAGTAGCAAACTGGAAGAAGAAATATGATCTAACATTCTGCTGCCTCCAGTAAACTCATCTTACTGCAGTTAACACCCACAGGAAAAAGTACAGGACTGGAGAAAGATCTTACAGGCAAATGGAAAACAAAAAAAGAGCAGGGGTGGGGCTATTCTTGCATTGGACAAAACAGACTTCAAACCAATAAAAGGTAAAAAGTACACAGAAGGGGACACTATGCAATGATAAAAGGATTAATTCACCAGCAAGAAATATCCATCTTAAATATATATGGACCCAATACAGGAACACCCAGAATTATAAAACTATTGCTACACGAACAAGGAGAGTACATACACACTGATGCAATCATAGTTGGAGACTTTAATACCCAACTAGCATTCCTAAACAAATTATTGACACAAAAAAAACCAACAAAGAGATCGAGAAACTTAACCAATTGTACCTAATAGTCATCTACAAAACACTCCACCCAACAATCATGGAGTAACCATTCTACTCATCAGCACATGGAACATACTCCAAAATTGATCACATTCTTGGACATAAATCAAGCATGAAGAAATTTCCAAAAGTTGAAAGAATATACCAAGCATCCTCTCAGATCACAATGATATAAAAGTAACTAGCATCACCAACAAGAACGCCCCAAAACACACAAAGACATGGAAACAAAACAACATTTGGCTGAATGACTTTGGGGTCAACAGAGAAATAAAGACAGAAATAA